CACAAAGAGAATTTATCTTCCAACAGTTTTCTTAAACTTTCAACAGCAAAACTATCATAAAACAAAATATTAGATAAACTCTAAAATATAAAATAAGTAAAATAATGTTTTTAACAATGTAGTTACTATATAATCAGTCCACAGTTTATAAAAGGTGCGAATGAAATGTGTGTATGAAAAGCAACAATATGGAAAGCAAGAATATTTTTGTCAACATTAAAATTTGCAATTGGACATTATGAATGACACCATCATTTTATCACATTTTTGATCTAATTGATTCCTGGAATATGCATTTGCAGTACAATAATGAGAAAATTAATCTTTTTTTCTTCAATACCAGGGATTGAACTCAGGACCTTGTGCTTGCAAGACAGGCACAGTGCCACTGAGCTAAATCCCAAGCCCTGTAATGAGAAAATTAATGGTTCTGAGTGATATCTGTTATTGGTATGGCATATTAATTAAGCTGAGAACGTTTCAGTTAAACTGACCTAAAAGCTTTAGAAATACATATTAGCATATGCTCATGTTTCTCATTGGGTTTGGACTGAGATCCCAAAGTTCTGTTTCTTGCGAACATTACTCAGAAACCACTGCACAATTTGGAGACAAACACCACAGGCAAAGGCTGGGGACCCACGTGGGCAGCACAATTGATTGGAGTATAAAATGAAAGAGAGGATCAGGGCAGGCAAAGGCATAACTTTGCAGAGGTAATTCCAGAGATAAAAGCTTTTGATAAATAGTAAACCACTTTGTCTGAACTGTAGAGAATAAATTATAGTCTGATAAAGGCATATAAAACCTACCACAATTTCTATTATGTCATATGTTACTTGTTTTTGTCTTTTTTATGTGTGTGTCCTACATCGGAGTCTTAGTTACATTGCTTATAACGGCATTTTACAGGAACCAACATGCCTGGAGAGACAAGGGCGGAGCTTCAACAGTACGCATCAGTAACACATGTACGAGACCCGAGAATATGGGTGCTGATGTGAGGAGGGAAACTATACCCTTAAATGTGTTAAAACATGTTAAAACATGACATAAGGTCCCCTGGAACATGTTTATTAGTTTATCACAGATCTGAATAAGGAGATTATATGTATCTGGGGCAGGGCGGGGGGGAGAAGAATCAAATGTTTGCAGAGCCCCTGACACCCTGCCGTGGAGGTTGAGGGTTCCTTGGAGCATACCTAGAAAGTGATTGGTACAAAACATTGTTTTGAAGCTGGCGTGATATAGCGGACTGGTAATAATAATAATAATAATGATAATACAATATCTTTTGGCATTTAATTCTGGGCCAGGTGCTGTGTTTAAGTGCATAATATGGATTATGCCCTGAATCATCACAATGATTATCCGTATTTTCAAGATGAGGAAACTGGAGTTTTGATGGGTTGAATGACTTGTTCTTGAGTTACACAGACTTGTTAGTGGTAGAGAGGGTGGTGACAGAGTAAGTGGAATGAGCCCTTTGCGACTATCACTTTCATTTATTTTCTGTAAAATCTGGGGAATGTTTACGCAACATAGCCAGTGCATTGTCAGACTGTTCTCCTAGAAAATATTATCATGGAGATCAGTACCTGTTGCTCAATGATATTTAAGTGTCATGTAGCTTTAACTCAAATTTTATTCTCCTTTATTATGATAAATGATTGGTATGTTGGCTACTATAACCTGCTATCTAATGTGACTGCTCTAAAAATAAGAAATAACTTCACTGTTCTTTGAAGTGTCTTTAATTGGACTGGCCCAAAATTTTGACTTCTACACTTTGTTGTCCTGGCCTGGATAGCTGAGGAACAGAGATGGTAGCAGGCTTAACAGTCAGAATGGGTCAGATAACCTCCCTGAAACCGAGCAGATGGAATCGCTCAGAACACAGCCGAGCCTGGAGAAATCTCCTCCATCCACTTATTACTGATCTGAGTACATTTTTGGTGCCTTTTTAAGGGAAGCTTCTGAGATAGGGAGAACATGGACCACATATTAAACAATGGGTGGGAGTTTGGAGTCAAGTTCCATAGAACCTGAATCTTATTCTGCAAGCTGTGCAGTCCCAGGTAAGCCCTTTTACCTGATTCTTAGTTTCTTATATTTAAAATGGTATTATTGCTTTCTTTATGTGATTGTAGTAAGAATTGGAAATGATGAATATATAGCTCTTAATAGTAGCTGACAAAATAGATGTTCAATAAACATGCTTGTTTGCTGTTAGTAAAATAATATTTACCTTATTTAAATATAATTAATTTCAACTTTTTGGAATGTTATTTAACTCTGGGGAATAATCAAACAGACTATATCAAAATAGTGATAATTGACTTAAAAATAGTGATATTGACTTAACATATTCAGCAGAAGAAAATCAAGCTATATATTTTGAGCTGTTTATGAGTGCAAGTGTGTTCTCATAGAGAAAAACAAAAAGACATACTTACCAAACCAATGATAGCTGCTCCAAACCCAATGAGAGGGCTGATAGAAATAATAACCAAGGTCAGTTTCCAGCCCCTGTAAAATCCCAGCAGGAACCCACCAATGGCCGTAGTCATGCGCTGAATGAAAATAGCCAATTGGTCAGCAATAGCCTCGTTGATTTTGTTAATATCACTGGAACAAAAGAAAGTCGGATCACTAAAAACTGAATTTGATCAATTCAAATATCTTGCTGAAACTTTTCACTCTTCCCCTTCTGAACACTCCATTCTTTGTAATACAACAGTTTCCCAACTCTTGGAGAATATGCTGCACCTTGGGATGTTCTCAAGCCTTTCTGCTCTGACCAACTCGACTTGTCTTAACTCAGCTTTCCTACATGATGTCCATTCAATGTTGATAAAGGCTTCTGAAAACCATCTTATTTTTCTCTTTTTTTCTTACAGCTAATAGCTCTGGTCTATCCTGAAGAGTCCTTCTTTCATTCTTCATGCTTATTAAATCCTTTCTGCCTCAAGATTCTATTCACATATCACCTCATTCATCAATCTGGGATTATCCCCAGGGAAAAGTAATATCCTCCTCTCTGTGTTTCCATAGCAACATAATGAATTGGTACATATGTATGTGCATGTGTATGTGTAATTATTGCATTCTTCTTACAAGCAGTAAAAAATAATAGCTAAGAACCCAGACTCTCTGGATTTGAATACAAGCTCTTCTTGGAAAATTTACTTAAATTTATTTTGCTTTAGTTTTCTCACCTATAAAAAGAGATAGCAGAACCCACCTTAGTAGGTACTAATGAGGATTAAACTAGTGTGTATAAAGCAAGTAGAACAGTGCCTATCAGGTAAAAAGCAACTCATGTTAGTGCTAAGTGTTGGTTTGCCTGCTTCCTAGGTTGTAAGTTCCTCAAATGCAGGGGTATAAGGTAAGTGCACTAGAACTACATTAGATTCATATACCTAAGAACATTTCCTAAACTCTTCTACAGAAGGAGTAAATAGGGCTTAGAATATGACAGCAAGAAAGGACATATGATGTTACCCAAAGATTAGACCATTGTGCTCTAGCAAGGTTACCTATCTGTCCAAGGTCACAGTAAGTGATGAGAGTAAGTGCTGGAATCTTGGGGTCTGATCTTTCATTCTACTTTATATTTACTATACACTGACTGTCTTTCCTGTGTCTCAATGTTCAATTCAATAGGGTCTAATTACTCAGGCCTCATTAGAATTTCACAGGGAGGTTATCAATGATGGAAAATGTATTTGGGTATAAATTGGATTTAAATCCTGTGGGTTTTTTATTTGAATCTTTCTCAAATTATTTTTGGAGTTTTTGTTTTTGTTTTGTGTTCAGAAATTGCCTTCACATGTGAAGTAAGATCATGGTTTTCCATTAAACATAGACATCCATTTCTCATTTTCTCTTTCTGAGGCCAAATGACCCTATTTTAACAAACACTCTTCTGTATTTCATTTCTTTTTTTTTTTCATTGAGTCTATTGGTACTTTTTAGGTATACAGTACAGTTACATTCATCACTGGGATCTTGTACCTTTACACGACAGATCTTGGTTCTCATTTTTCCCCCTTGTCCCTGCCCTCCCTTCACCCCCTCCACCCTCCCCTATTTGCAAAGTCTTTGTTTCCATTTTTTCTTTTTCTCATATTTTTTCTTTTCCCTTATTTCCTTTCCCCTACCCTTCCCACTTCCCCTACGCCTTTAGCCCTTTTCTTCCTATTTCAATTATCAGTTATACACTTTAAATCTAATTAACACTTTTAGTATTTCACACCAGAGTGGCTATTCAGTATTTACACATGTGTGTCCTATTTATTTCACTTAAGAGTATGGCCTCAATATGCATCCATTTTCCTATAACTGTCTCTAGTTTCTCATTCCTTATGGCTGAGTAGTACTCAAATTTATAGAAAAACCCCATCTTCTTTATCCAGTCTCCAGCTGATGGGCAAATGGGGTGTTTCCAAGTTTTAGCTATTACAATCTCTGCCGCTATAATCATGGTGTGCATATATCACTGTGGCATGACTCTTTTAATTCTTTTGGAAAGACACCCAGCAGAGGGATAGCCAGGTCAAATGGAACCTCTAATCCTAGTTCTTTGAGGTATCTCCATATTGATTTCCATAGTGGCTGTACCAGTCTGCACTCCCACCAACAATGGAGAAGGGTTCCTTTCTCCCCACAACCCCACCAGCATTTCTTATTGGTTAATTTCTTGATAGCAGCAGTTCTTTCTGGGGTGAGGTGGAATCTCAGTGTTATTTTCATCTGCATCTCTTGAATGACCAGTGATGTGGAACATTTTTTCACATATTTATTTGCTGCTTTTACTTCTTTGTCTGATAAATGTCTGTTCATTTCAGATGCGCATTTTTGAACCAGGTCTTTATATTTGGGTGTCCTGATTTTTTTGAGTTTTTTATATATTGTAGATAATATTCATTTGTCTGAGAAGCAGCCAGCAAAATTGTTTTCCCACATTGTAGGTTGTCTGTTAGTTCTGCTGGTGGTTTCTCTTACAGTGCAGAAGATTTTTAATAAGATGAGATACCAGTTGTTGATTCTTTGTACTACTTTCCGTGCTACTGAGGATCTGTTCATAAAGTCTTTTCCTATGGCAATGTTTTTGAGAGTTCTGTCTAACTTATCTTCCAGCAAGTTTAGTGTTTCTTTTTTAATATTTACATCTTTAATCCACATGGATTTTAGTTTAGTGCATGGTGAAAGATAAGGGTCTAGTTTTAATCTTTGGCAAGTTGAAAGCCAGTTTTTCCAGCACAATTTATCAAAGAGGCTACCCTGAGGATGGTTGGCTCCTTTGTCAAAGATGAAGGAGCTGAGTGCATCTGGAGTTGTTTCTGTATCTTCCAATCTATTCCATGGATACTTGGGTCTTTTTCTTTGCCAGTACCACGATTTTTTTTTTATCACAGTGGCTTTGTAGTATAGTTTCAAGTTGGGGATTGTGATATCCCCTGCTATGTCTCTGTTACCTAGAATGGTTTTTGCTATTCCAGGTCTCTTCTGGTTCGAAATGAATTTTTGGACTATTTTCTCTAGTTCTGTGAAATATACTGTTGGAATTTCAATTGGTGTTGCATTGAATCTGAATAGCAGATTTGGTAGTACGGCCATTTTCACTATGTTGATTCTTCCTCCCCAGGAGCAGGGGAGATCTTTCCATTTTCTTATATCCTCTTCGATCTCTTTTTTCAGAGTGCTGTAGTTTTCAGTGTAGAGGTCTTGTGTTTGTTTCATTAGATTCCTAGATGCTTCATTTTTTTGCATGCTATTGTGAATGGAACTGTTTCCCTAATTTCTCTCTCAGTGAGTCTGTTATTTGTGTACAAGAAGGCTATTGATTTTTGAGCGTTGACCTTGTATCCAGCTACTCTGCTGAAAGTGACAATTAAGTCTAGAAGTCTTTTGGCAGAGTTTTTTGGGTCTTCTATGTAGAGTATTATATTATCAGCAAATAATGGCAGTTTAACTTCTTCCTTCCTTCTCTTTATTGCTTTAATTTCTTTCTCTTGCCTAATTGCTGTGGCTAATGTTCCCAGAATTATATTGAAGAGGAGTGGTGATAGTGGACATCCTTGTCTTATTCCTGATTTTAGCATGAAGGTTTTCACTTTTTGACAGTTTAGAATGATACTGGCTGTTGGTTTTTCATAGATAGGCTTCATCAGGTTGAGATAAAATCCATCTATTCCAATTTTCTGCAGGGTTTTTATCATGAGTGAGTGTTGAATTTTGTTGAATGCTTTTTCTGCATCTATTGAGATGATCATATGATTTTTGTCCTTGACTTTATTAACATAGTGTTTATATTTATTGATTTATGTTTGTTCAGCCATCCTTGCATCCCTGGGATAAATCAGACTTGGTCAGGGTGTATGATCTTCTTCATGATCTTCTGTATTGTTTGCCAGTGTCTTATTGCATCTATGTTCATGAGAGAGATTGGCCTGTAGTTCTCTTTTTTGGTTGGGTCTTTCTCTGGTTTTGGAATCAAAGTAACACTTGCTTCCAGGAATGAATTTGGAAGTATAACTTCCCTTTCAATTTCATTGAAATGTTTAAAGAGAAGTGGCAGTAATTTTTCTCTAAATGTCTTGTAGAATTCAGCAGCAAAGCCATCTGGACCTGTGCTTTTCTTCATTGGTAGACTTTTAATTACATTTTCATTTTTAATGATTGTAACTGGGGAATTTAGAATTTTTTTCTTCATTCAACTTTGGTAATTCCTAAGTATCTAGAAATCTGTCCATTTCTTCTGTGTTTTCCATTTTATCAGAGTAGGTATTAATGATCCTCTTGAGTTCTGCTGGATCTGTTGTGAATTTACCTTTTTTGTTCCTAATCACACAGATCTGAGCCTTTTCTTTCCTATGTTTGACAAGGTAGACAAAGGGTTTATTGATTTTATTTTTTTCAAAAAACCAACTCTTCAGTTTGTTGGTTTTTTGTATCATTCTCCTAATTTCCATTGCATTGATTTCTTCTCTGATCTTTATAATTTTCTCCCTTGTATGAGCTTTGAATTTTTCTTGCTCTTCTTTTTCTAGGAGCCTAAGATTCATCATTAACTTGTTTTTTGTTTGTTTGTTTGTTTGTTTGTTTTAGCTCGCTCTGTTTTCCTGGTGCAGGCTATGAATTTTTCATGTAGAACTGCTTTCATTGTGTCCCATACATTTCTGTATGTTGTATTGGCATTGTCATTTATTTGTAAAAATTGACTAATGTCTTCTCTAATTTTCTCTGTGACCCCTTGATTGTTCAGGAGAATGTTGTTCAATTTCCATGTATTTGTGAAGTTCTTATGGTTTCATATGCTATTGATCTCAAGTTTAATTGCACTGTGGTCTGATAATATACATGGGATAATTTCAATTCCTTTGCATTTATTTAAGCATATTCTATGAGCTATTATGTGGTCCGTTTTGGAGAATGACCCATGTGCAGCTGAAAAGAATGTATATTCTGATTTTGTGGGGTGGAACACTCTGTAGATGTCTATTAAGTGCATTTGTTCAAAAGCTTGGTTCAGTTCTGTTATTTTGTTGTTGATTTTTTGTCTAGATGATCTGTCTATTGTGATAGTGGAGTAATTAGGTCCCCCATTACAATTGTATTAGTTTGTATTTGGTTTTTCATGTTCCTTAATTATTTTTTTTATTATAGTTGGGGGCATTAACATTTGGTGCATATATAGATATATAGATATATTTATTTATTTATTTATGATTATCATCTATTTCTCTTGGATCATTGCCTTTATAAGGATGTAGTGATCTTCTTTGTCTCTCTTAATTAGTTTTGTTTTGAAATTTACTTTGTCTATGAATAAGATAGCTACCCTTGCTTTTTTCTGGGCTCCTGTCACATGGAGAACTGTTTTCCATCCTTTCACTTTCAGTCTATGGGTTTCTTTTTGCACTAGGTGTGTTTCTTGTACACAACATATTGCTGGATTTTGCTTCTTTATCCATTCTGCCAGTCTATTTCTCTTGATTGGTTAATTGAGGCCATTGACATTGAGGGATATAACTGATATGTACTGACTTATCATTGTCATGTTATTGTCCTATTGTGGCTCTTTCTAATCCCCCCCCTTTAGTTTCTTGACTTGCCTAATTGATTTGCTCTGTTGGGTCTCATGGTGTTGTGACCTTCATTGTCTTTTTCTAGGATATTGTTTGGAATTATTTGGAGTGTTGGTTTGGTATTCATGAAGTTTTTCAGGTGTTCTTTGTCATGGAAGTATCTTATTTCCCCATCCATTTTAAAAGAGAGTTTTGCAGGATACATCAGTCTAGGTTGGAAGTTGTTTTCTTTTAGGTTCTCCAGGCTCTCCTTGACCTGAGGATTCACATTGAAAAGTCTGTTGTGATTCTGATGGGCTTTCCTTTGCATGTGATTTGTTTCTTTCCTCTAACTGCTTTCAGTGTTTTGTTCTTCTGTTGGATTTCAGGGATCTTAACTATTATATGTCTAGGTGCAGTTTTTTTTGTTTTGTTTTGTTTTGTTTTTTGATCATGGCTAGTTAGAGTCCTATATGCCTCACTTATCTGTATGTCAAATTCTTTTGCTCTGTTTGGGAAGTTCTCTGTCATTAATTCTGTGAACAGTTTTTTTTTAAGTCATTTGTACTTTCTCCTGTTATTTCATGGATTCCTACCAGTCTTATATTTTTCTTCTTTGTATCATCTAGGAGTTGTTGGAACAATTTCTCATTATCACTTACTGTTTTTAAGCGATCTCTCTCTTCATGGTCACTGACTGCCATCCTTTCTCCTATATCTGAAATTCTATCTTCACATTTATTCATCCTGCTGCAAAAACTTTCAATAGAGTTTTTAATCTCCTGGATATCTGTTCGAATCTGTTTCATGGATTCCATTTCTTTCTTATGTTGGGCTTTCATGGTTTCCATTTCTTTCCTATGCTGGGCCTTCACGGCTTCTATTATGGTCCTGAGCTCATCTTTTTTATTTATTTATTTTTTTTTTGGTCATTTTCTGCTCTTGAGTCTTTAATCCTGTCTTTCACTGTGCTCACCATCTCTGTAGTTATCTGGGAAATTATTTCTGTTCTGAATATTTCTAGAGTCTGATTGATCTGTTTCATTACTTCCTGTGCTATGAGTTCAGGGAGTCCTAGTAGTTTGTTGTCAGACTTTTCCACCTAGTTTCCCCTAGAATTTGCTATTGCTGAATTAGACGTCTGTCTTGCACCTTGCTTAAGTGTTTTCTCATTTTTATTTTTGTTGTTGGGCTGTCCTTGGTTTAATTCCTGGGTTAGTACTTTGATCTTCCTAATATAGCTGCACTTCAGCTTTTGAGACTCTGACTCAGAGAAACTCTTATTTTTGTAATATCACGAAGGACAACTGATTAAATTAATCACAACCCTTTAGCCCATTTGATATAATCAGCAATGCAATAGCATCAAGCACAATTTAGAAATTGACAATTCATGGTAGTTATTAACCTATCACCTTTAACCATGTGAATTAAATCAAAATTGAGGAACAGCCCAAAATGTGTTTATGAATAACTGTTCAGTATAACAGCTTTACCCTTCAGGATGGGGACTTAGAAGGAGTTGGGAAGAGAGGAATAGATAGGTAGAACAATAGTAGAAGGGTCCAAGTGAAGCCAGAGGATACAGGATGATCACGCAAACTCTAGGAAACTTTTGAAGACAAAAGAGAAAATAAAGAGTGCAAGAAAAAAGATAAGAATAGAGCAACTTAACAGTAATAGAGAAATTATAAATTGTACTCACTTTCCTTTGAAACTAATAACAATCAAGAGAAGGAAAAAGAGAGAAGAGAAGAAAAAGAAAGAAGAAATGTGAATTAAGGCAGGAACAAGGACAAACAGGTATATGAAGAACAGTGTGGCAAAGAAACAGACTGAGTGGGAAAAAGAAGAAAGAAAAAAGGAAGAATTTGAAGAATGGGAAAAAATAAAATTTTAAATTTAAAAATTAAAAATAAGAGCAAAAGAAAGAAAAAAATTTGAAGGGCCTCCTTTAGGCCCCTGCTGTAACAATAGACAATGTGGGCAGCAATGTGCAGAACTAAGTCAATTAGTCTCAGCTAGTCAATGGCAGACCCCTGATATTCAGGCCAAATTCTGGCTGCAAGGCCCAAGGTGAACTCCCTGACCTCCAGCAGGGTTAAACCCTGCAAGGTTCTATGGCAGGTTCCAGCTGCCCTTCCCCTGAAGATAGTCCAGGTTCTAATGGAAGGTGGTGATCCCTTCACCTTATCAACTACGGAGGTCTGGTGGGCCTTTATTGCAGTTGTTCACTTCTGTTCCACCTTCTGGAGCTCAGTACAATGTCCTTTTTGACCACCCATGCCTCTGCAATGTGGATCTAGGTACCAGAACAGCCAGGAGGACCAAGAGCATGGGGGGGTGTTAAATGCAGCAGGGGCACTCATGTGGCTGGGCAGTCCTCACTTGTCTGCTCCAGTGAAAGCCTGGGGTGCTGGGGAGTGGGGAAGCCTACAATATTTCATTTCTAACATTTTGATCAAAGATCTGTAAATAAAACTGCAGCACCACAATATTGTTGTCTTTGTTATCTCAAATATTTTTTATGTCCAAATATTTCAATATTTAATAACCATATTTATAAGGCATTGCCTATGCAAATGCCATGCTACCTCTGAGAGCCCAACACTAGAGACAGCACAAACCAAACCCATTGAAAATGTTTTCAAATTGTTACTGAACTTAAAAACAAGAGTTTTATTCTACAAAATGATACATTACAACATCTTTCTGCCAGCTACTTACTCAGAGATTCTTGTATTCAGCTCTCCCACGGCATTGCAGTCAAACCATCCAATTTCCATTCTCATTATTCTTCTAAAGTACATTTTTCTCATTTTTCTTACTTGGCGAGCTCCAGAAATTACCCAAAAGCATACCTGAAGATTGACAAAGGCAGTCTGTAGCATTGTGATACTAGAAATATTTGTTAATTCTTCTCTTTTCAGTAGCAGTCTCCACATAGTGGTTTTTAAAAGGAATACTCTCCACAAAATGCCTCTTCTTGAACTAAGTCCTGAGCATTGGCACCTGCTGCTGAAAGTGAAGGTGAGCACAAAATCTTTGGAGAAGTGACTGGAGATTTGGTTTTGGAGGAAGATCTACCTTTGAGGAGGCCCTCAACTTTTGGAATTTTCCATATTGAACTTTACTCTCTACATGAGTAGGATATGGTTCCCATTGCCAAACTTATGATGTTATTGCTCTTAAGTGACTATTTTTTGCATGCCACTTCTTTTTTTTTAATTTTATTGAGTTTATTGGTACATTTTAGGGATACAGTACAGTTACATTCATTGTTGGGATCATGTACCTCTACATGGCAAGTCTTGATTCTCATTTTTTCCCCTTACCTCTGCCCTCCCTTCACCCCCTCCTCCCCTCCCCATTTACAAACACTTTATTTTCATCTTTTCATTCTCTCACATTTTTTTCTTTTCCCTTTTTGTTCTTCCCCTACACATCACACCTTCCCTACACCTTTAGCTCCTTTCTTCAAATTTCTAAATGTCAGTAATCTTATTAGAATCTTATGCATTGTTGCAGAATATTCACACCAGGGAAACTATTTGGTATTTACACATGTGTGACTTATTTATTTCACTTAGGAGTATATCTTCAATATGTATCCATTTTCCTATGAATGAATCTATTCTCTCGCTCTTTATGGCTGAGTAATATTCCATTTTATAGAAAAACCACAACTTCTTTATCCAGTTTCCAACGGATGGGCAAATAGGTTGTTTCCAAGATTTAGCTATTACAAACTGTGCCGCTATAAACATGGGTGCACATACTTCTCTGTGATATGATTCTTTTAGTTCTCTTGGAAAGATACCCAACAGAGGGATGGCTGGGTCAAATGGAACCTCCAGTCCAAGCTCTTTGAGGTATCTCCATATTGATTTCCATAGTGGTTGCACTAGTCTGCACTCCCACCAACAATGGAGGAGGGTTCCTTTCTCCCCACAACCCCGCCAACATTTGTTATTGTGTGATTTCTTGATAGCAGCTATTCTTTGTGGGGTGAGGTGGAATCTCAGTGTTGTTTTCATCTGCATCTCTCGAATGACCAGTGATGTGGAACATTTTTTCATATATTTACTTGCTGCTTTTACTTCTTTGTCTGAGAAATGTCTGTTCATTTCGGATGCCCATTTTTGAATTGGGTCTTTATATTTGGGGGGACTGATTGTTTTGAGTTCTTTGTATATCCTTGATAATAGTCCTTTTGCATGCCACTTCTGAGTGACATTTTCCCCTGGGAAAGTATTCATGTACAGATTCCAGGAAAATGGTGTTTTGAGAAACATAAGACAAAAATGATGGCACAAGTTGGGAATCTAATCTGTTGATAGATTTCCACTAATAACAACAACAACAAAAAAGCAAGTCTGTAATGAAAAGCACTAGAATTGGAAAAAATGGATTCATTTCTCTTTACAACTAACATCACTTGGAATAATTCTTCTTGAATAAATGATGAAAGGGATTCATTATATTTTTCTACAAAAGGCAGCAAAAAAATGAATATTTTTTGTTATTAATAAGAGGTAACTAACCCTGTCTGTTGCCTAAATCAAGAATACGCTCTAAATTCAGTTTTACAGACTTTGGGATGGAAGGTAGTTTGGTGAGATTTTAGCAATAAAACAGAAAAAGAAAATACACTTTGCTTTCTGCTGCATGCCCATCTTTCTCCACGGTCCTCAACCTTCTCTTAAAAACACACCCACAGCTGTCCATTTTGATCTCAGAAGAGAGGATGAAGTAGGAGACAGGAAGGTGGACAGGATGTTATAACTAAAAGCCCAATCTCCACCTCTCTGGACAGTTCTTATAACTCCTTCAGTTGTTTCCTGAGAAGAATCCTCCCCATTGTCTCATATCCTCACCAAAAAAGAATTGTGATTTTTTTTAGGGCTTCTTAAAGAATCAAGGATAGTCAGATTATTGAGATAACAAAAACAACAATTTGCATTTCCTTGCAATCCATAAGCCCAGATGTTAATCTCTAAATAAAATAGAGGAGCTACTAACCTGAATATATCCCAGAATAAGTACGACAACACCGATTCCAGCATAGATACTAGCAAATGTGATCATTTCACTCTCAATGTCCAGCAACCTTCAAAAGAGGAGGGAAAAATGTTAATGTATACAAGTGGGATCAAACTGCCAAGGATTGCATTTCTAGATGCAAGGGGAGTTTTAAACTATGTATCATAAATTTTTATTTAACTTGACTAAGGCATTTTATCTTTGCAGTATTAGAATCAATCCAACCAAATCCTTAAATAGATCTCACAATACTATCCACAGCAAATACGCTCATCCTTTTCATTTCTCTAGGCAGAGATGCTGGGAGTGTGAAATAATCAGAAGTCAGGAGACCCTAGCTTGCTGACCAGTGCTAGATTTACCTTGAGCTCTCGCTCTTACACAGGTCGTGACAGAACAATCATGGCTAGAAAAAGGTTTAACAAGGCAGACAGGCTGTCTGAAAAAGACATTTACTTAGGGAAAGAAACATGCAGCAAGTAAAGTCTTACTCTTACCTCCTCTGGGAATCTAAGCAGGCTTTTCAGTTTCTCCATCTCAGTGACATTGAAAACAATGAGTGTGTCATTGTCCCATGGAGGAGGACAGTGTTTTATTAGCCTTAAGTATATCTGCCTCATTTCTCTCCTGGCCACAGCCCATGAAGCTTCCCTCACCAAGACAGTTTCTAAAGTTGAAACCAAAGAGTTCTTTGCCTTTTCCCCTGCAGAACCACCACTCTATGACACAGGATTTGGAACTGGCAGTGACAGGCAAGGGAGAAAAAATATTTTGACATTACTCCAGGAAATAAAAATTTTATAATTAGAAAATCAGCACACTGGCTGATAGACACGCTGACTGGCAAGGACTAGTTAAAAGATATAGCATCTATTCTTTAGAAAATTAGAAGTAGTGTCATTAGCATGGATGCTGTCATCCTGTATTATTACCATCTCTTCAGGCCTTCATTCTGCAACTAAAATTTGAGTTATTCTCTTCCTCTACTGAACTCAGGCCAAGTACTACCATATAATTCATTAAATGTGGAGCAAACTATTATTTCACAAGTTCTACTACCAAGCAACACTATTAGTTAATTTCTTAGTTAAATATACTTATATTGAGCTTATTCATATTTGTCTTGCTGGCAGGTTGCAAGCTACTTGCAGGGAAGGGCTGGGTTTATGTTACTTGCTCACATTTCCCAAAGCCTCATACAAGACCTACCTAAAGTAAGTCATCAATAAATGTTTCTTGATTCTGCTTTGACTTTCAAAATGTAAATTAGGAAGAAAAATTCTGCCACGGTCCATCCCTCTGACAACCTCCAAATCGGCTAAAAGCTCACAACATTCCCAATCAGTCATGATAACCAAGGACAACACTGAGACTGAAAAAGACCTAGAAAATGACAGACTTATATATGAGTATCCACACTCAGGGGCCCTTACAGAAGCTTCCTAACTCTGACTGAGTACAAGGGAGCAACTCAGCTCTGGGGTTCCTTGGAGCGAAGTCTAGGGCAGCAATGCCCCTGCTGCATGGTACAGACGAGGATGTGTGCAGTTCATGATCTTTTGCACCCCTGAGGCGCCCATGAAGTGAGAGGGGTTAACTCACTTCTATTTACTGCTGCATGACAGACGAGGATGTGTGCAGTTCATGATCTTTTGCACCCCTGAGGCGCCCATGAAGTGAGAGGGGTTAACTCACTTCTATTTTATTCCCTGGAAAAGTGGCTGTTATGGCCTTACAGATGACTTGAAAATATTCCAGAACTATAGGACAATCCTATAAGAAAAGCCTATAGGAAAGTAAAGAGCAGGACTGGCTCAGCTCCCTTTAGAGCAGGTCATGTCTTCATCATCCACATGGTAGAAGACTCCGGGATCTCCAATCCTGGAGAGGATTCTATGCCAAGTGTGCAGGTGCTTTGGATCACAGAGGTGCGCTTTCCTTTTTCTTAACAGCAAAAGTAGCACAAATCTTTTTCAATAAATTAAGATTCCCTTGACTCATTTGTTGAAGAGAAGAGGCAAGAGAGATGATAATTAGGCAGAAAAGGTTAAGAGATGTTTTACAAACTATGAAGATATGAGGAATCTTATCTTGATTTTTATAAAAACCCGAAGCATTATAAAATTATATCACTGAATTTACACATCAAGGTTTCATATTACTGAAGCCATTTTAAGTACCTAGGAGTCTTTAGAGCATTGTAAATTAGGAATTTTCTTTTCAACTGGTCTCCTACATTGTAGATTCTGTAGCACTGACACATCAGAGTAACTGTCAGTGCCAACTCCAGACTGACAAGCTGGCCAAAATGTGTTCAAGTTCTAGTTTCAGGAGCATGGTGACTCTATATTCCTTAATGCATAGGACATTTACCTATATATGAATGATTTATCTTCTGATTTAGTTGCTTTATAGAACAACCATGCATTGTGGTAGCATGTTTCAGACAATCTGTGACCACTCCCATCGAGGCTGTTCTTTGCTGGCTTGTTATAGATTTACATGAAGTTGTGAAAAGTAATACAGCAAAATTATGTGCAACCTTTATCCGTTTTCTTTCAGTGGTAACATCTTGCAAAACTGTAGAACAATATGACAACCAGGATATTAACACTGACATGATCAAGACCAGAAGGATCAAATTCAGATCACCACAAGGCTCTTTCATGTTGTCCTTTTATACCTACATACAAGGGGTGATCAGAAACTACTGTGTGTTTAAATTGTAAAAAAATCATTACAGTAAAAGGCATATTGCCATTAGTCCTCCTCAAAAATATTCCCCTTCACTTCACTTCAAACACGCTTATCCCGTTGCACTTGCTACTTTCTGAAGCAGTTTTGGAAGTGTTCTTTGTGGCTGTCTCCATGACCTGAATCAATTCAAAGCATTTACAGAAAATTCTGTCAAATAAAATTATGGTGTATATCCATATACCTTATTTACTGGATTTGGCACTGTGTGACTTCTGGCTTTTCCCCAAAGGCAAAGTGACCATAAAAAGGTAAATAATTTTTTCCCTTTAAGTTTATTGGTACATTTAAAGCAAAAAGGTAAATAATTTTGAATTGATTCAGCAATCAAGGCAGCCATGAAAGAACAATTAAAGACACTCATGAAAGAAGAATTCCAGAACTGCTTCAGAAAGTGGCAAGAAGGATGGCATCATTCAAAGCAAGGCTTGTTTGTATGTATGTGTGGTACTGGGGTTGAACTCATAACAATGCATGTTAGGCAGAAAGAATTTTTGTAATTTTTTAACCATGTTAGGCATGCACTTGATCACTGAACTACATCTCAGCTACATCTCAGCTCAACCTAATTCTTGATTTACATTATTTTTTGGTGATGAAACTCCACTGATGACTTTCCTCATCAATGGCTTGTTCTATTTCATTGTTAAATAAGATTTCATATTATACTATAGATAGATGCATTACAATTTAAGCCAATGGGGAGGGGAGAAGGGGGTGAAGGGAGGGCAGAGGTAAGGGGAAAAAATGAGAATCAAGACTTGTCATGTAGAGGTACAAGATCCCAACAATGAATGTAACTGTACTGTATCCCTAAAATGTACCAATAAACTCAATTAAAGCTGAAAAAAAAAAACAATTTAAGCCAGTTGCCCATTAAGGAACCTGAGTTGTTTCCAACTTTTGCTTATTACAATTAAAGTCACTATATATATTTGTGCACAGGATTTTCCAGAGAGACTAACATTTTGTACTCTTGCCAGCAACATATGGATGATCCTATTCCTCCATATCCTCATTTAGGATTTTAACAATTTTTAATTTCAGTTCTATTTTAAGGCTTGACAATATAATTACAGGAAATTTTTCTCTTGAAAACTTATTTTCATGAGTATAATTAGTGGTTTGGATCTAATTACCTTATACACAGGGAGAGTGACAAACTTTAAAGACTGTCATTGAACATCTCTCATACAAACTGTTTTGGGCCTTCCCAGTGAAAAGAAACTTCAAAGTTTGGAGAAAAAGCATACGTATTGAGATACTAGGAAATTCATTTCTAATTTTTTTTCTACTTCCCATTTTTTTAATTCATTGCTAATTTTGAAAGAGCGATTCTGCACATAGTGTGTTAGTCTCCGCTTCTCTACCATCGAGTACCCATCAGTCTGTAACGACATATATATGAACAGTCACTGTTTGGATAATGGTCTGCCTCACTGGACCTAAGCTCTGCAAAACTGTGTTCTTGATGCTTCCACGAGACCCTGTATATAGGCAGGGTTCAAATAAATCTTTGGTGGACTACATAATGCAAGTAAGTCTTTACCCCCTCTTCACCTGACGGGGGATCAGTAACAAAAAATAATCCAGTCAGTAAACAGGTAGATGATCTAAATAGACACTTCACAGATCGCCAATAAATATATGGGAAAAATACTCAATATCTTTAGCTGTCAGGGAAATGAAAATCAAAACTGCATCAAGAGCCGGGCAGTTAGCCCAGCAATGCTGCTACCTGCCTCGCAAGCACAAGTTTCCGAGTTTGATCCTTGGTACAAAACAAAACAAAACAAAACTGCATTGAGATTCCATCTCACACCAGTTAGAATGTCTGTTATTTAAAAAAGAAAAGATAACAAATGACGGTAAGGTTGTAGAGAAAAAGGAGCCCTTCCTTATACTCTGTTGGTGGAAATTAAATTAGTACAACCACCATGAAAAGCAGTATGAAGGTTCCTCAAAACACAAAAAACAAAACAAAACAAAATATGTTCCACCTATGCCACTCCTGGTTTTTTGATATCTATCAATCCTGATATTTAAAGATATGGAACCAGCCTAATTACCTGTCAACAGACGAATGGATACAGACAATATAGCACATATGCACAGGGGGCTATTTATCCAATCATAAGATGGAATCCTGCAATTTGCAGGAAAATGAATGGAAGTGGAAGATATCAAGCTAAGTGCAATAAGTCAGACACAGAAAGACAGGTGTATTTTTTTCTCATATGTGGAAACAAAAAAAGAAATGACCTGAAAGTAGAAGAGGGATTATTATATCTGAGCAGGGGGCCCCGGGAAAGGTTTCAAGGGTAGTAGCGTAAGTAGAGGTGGAGGGTAAGGAGAAGGGAGGGGGACTGTGATCAAAGCTGGATATATGCATATATAGAAATGCTACAGCAAATCCCATTCATTTGCACAATTAATATTTATTTATAATAATAAAATAGACAAAAAAATGAAAACTCCTTCAGGCAAGATAGTGCCAATAGAAAATGATTACCAGAAAAAAAACTGTGTGTTTTATTGAGGGAGTGAAAAATGCTCACTGAGTGATAATATCTCAGAAAGATTTACTCATAGCTGAACCAAGCCTGTCAAAAATTTCAAAAATGAAGGTGAGCAAAATTCATTGAGGAAAACATTCCAAACGCCTCTCAAGCAGGATGTGCCCCACCCTTGCATCTTGAACTTGGATACTGTATGGATTCATACATGCAAACAAGCTTGTTCTGAACCTGCAGCAGCATGAGGCAGGCTGTGAAATCCATGCTACGATGGTGAGTCAGCCCCAGTGCACTACGGACTCACTCATGGTACACAGCAGCCCATCAGGCTTATCGCAGACAGAATAGAAGCTTAGTTAGTGACTGTGCTGTGTGAGTTCCGGCTTTTCTTGCACAGCTGCCTCTGCTCATAGCACCGCACCACTCTTCCATGGAAACTCGATTACTGAATGTAACCAGAGACCTCTGCCTCAGCCCATGCAGCCTGCTCATGAAAATCCTAATATAGAAAAGGGCTTGGGACCAGTGTATCATCAGCCACAGCCTCAGAGCTAAGGGGAGGAAGGAACTTAGTGGGTGAAAAAAGAGGAACTCCTATCTGTGAGACTCAAGTGAAACTCCTGGGTCGCCTCCCCGGTGGCATTAAGTCTGAATAGTATATGTTCAAGCCTGTAGTTAACAGCGTGGTTAAATTTTGGTACTGTGTTTGATAAACAATTTCTAATCCTGTTTCTGTTAAGACTTTAAAACCTGGTAAAATGGTGAGGGGGACCTCAGGGCAGAGTAATTTCTAGAAACATGAGTAATGATGTTTCTGTTCCCTGTGTTAAACACTACTGCAGCTCAGTCGATAACGCCCCCTTTATACATTGTGAATTAAAATTTAAGATTTAAGAAAAGGGTTTAAAAAAATTGAAAGTAGCCTACCCACAACGTGTCCCATTCGTCACATTCTGGTTGAGGGAGCTGTTGATCCACACTATGGTGTTATTCACGCATGCTTTTCCTGGAATGTTGAGTTCTTGTATTTCAGTGTCATATTCAATAAAAGTATCGGTCATTGCACCAAAAGTCAAAAGCACTGCTGGTTGGGATAGCCCATGGAGCAATGCACATAAACTTCCAACAAACATCAGCCAAATGTCAGTCCATGAAGAAAATCGAAACTTGAAAAACAAAGAGTTCAGAAATCATCTATGGCCAGAAAGCAGAAGAAACAGTAATATGATTTGACTTTAGCTACTAGATTATGATAAATACATAGCACTCAACACCAAATTTCATGGGAATCATCTTAACAAAGCAGTAGAGTTCACACTAATTGTTTTGCAGTAAATTGTACATCAGTTGACTAAAACATTAGACACTTACATTGTTAGATATCGTTCTTTCTGTCCTAATCTCAAAATTCTCCTTACCTCAGGAACTGATTTAGTGTTTTGCTACCATCCACAACCCAAGGAAATCATCACTGAGATGGGTACCACGGACAGGTGAATATGAGGCACCCAGCAAAGGAAAAACTGGCTCTCAGAACAGGTCATGACAATGAAGAGTGGCTGTTTGTGCCCGAAAATGCCTCTGTCCTGTGAAGGTTGGGAGTAAGAACCTAAACTATAGAATTTCTAAAATCTTTTCATAAAAATTAACATTGATGATGTGGTTACTGTGATGCTTTTCTTTACTAAATAACAATTATGAGTTTGGTGATTACTTTCCAGCAGATTCTGCTGATCTACTACTGGACAGAATTTATGTGTTTACTTAGTAATAGATTTCTAACCAGTATCCAGCATGTCACTACCCAGGTGAAGTTTATGACTAAGATATCACTGGTTAAAACCTGCCAATACAGCCAAAGACAGCATTTCCTTCATGCCTTGAATGATTCACGGTTGCAAATCCAATTCTATATCAATCAGCACAGTTTTATTACCAGTTGGAAGAAGCCAACTTGTATTCGATCATCTTTCTTCTTATCTTGTAACCTGAAAAAAGCAGGAATTTAAAGACCATCCTTTCCCAAAAAATGAGAAATTCTCTCTATATGCTGTGTTATGAGTCATGTTTAGTAAGAAAGACTCCACTGGCTGTGAAATTAAGACCAAACATGGTATCTTGAGAATAGCCTTTTATTCTTTTACAGATTTCAGTAGAGCTATATCTCACGATCAACAGAAATGCAGTAAGATTTTGGTTTTGGTTTTTAGAGAGGTATTGGAGCGATTAAGAAGTCCTAGGTACTGTACTTCCAATTACACCAACAGTTACTATTGCCTTCAGCTGTGACCCTTGACCTAGTTATACCTACATTTCCTTGTGGGTAAATTGAGATGGTTAGATTAGCTGACTTTAAATCTTCCTTCCAGCACTTACACTCACATTAAACAATGCCGATATGATGAAAAACAAAAACATGTCCATAATCCCCATTAGACTGAATTTTCTTCGTATTGTTATTCATCTCATTTCTCATAAGGTTGTGCTCGACTTGTCCTTGACTTCCTCAACTCCGGGGGTTCCCACTCAGATCCAGTGAGTCACTTATTCTGTGGACGCCTCAGACCTTGATGTCACCGGGAACTATTAGAGTTCAGAGCATTTTTAATTCCACCGGAACTCTGCAGCTGCCCATTCATCTCATTTTCTCAGTTCCTTCCTTCTTCCATACGTCTTTGTCAACTTCAGTTAGATTACAATCCTTTAAATCCTCCCATTACTGACAATCACTGAACCTCATCAAGATTATTCTTCTTTCCCTGTACATCCCAAGCCCTACTGCCTAGCACCTGAACCGCATCCGTAATCCTTTCCCCAGAATCATCCTCAGAAGCTATTTCTGCATCCATCTACCTGTTTGCACTTCGCCCCCTTTAGCCCGTCTGCTGGGCTGGCTAGAGACAACCTAACCACCATGTGGACTGAAGCCAACACAGGCGGTGTATATCCTTTGGCTGCCCTAATCTTCCTTCCCATCCCAGAGTAGAATCTCCAGTCTTTACTGAGATCTCACTCAAGGTTTCTTGTGATGCAGCCCCATTAGCTCTCGGACCAGGTCTTCTACTTTACTCTACTGCAGTTCTCAACAAGCAGTTACCCGGACTCTTGATGAATTGTGTTCATACTAAGTGTGTTCCCACCTCTGGATATTTGCATTTGCAAATTCCTCTCCCAAAATGTTTTCTTCAGATACCCACATGGACAGCTATCCTCACATCTTTCAACTCTTCCTGCCGAAGTCACCCACCTGAGTCTTCCCTGGCCAAGGTCTTTAAAATTTCAACCCCTTATCCCAACATATATAAATGCTACTTTGTATCTTCATTTCCGTATTTACCGGTCTTCCTTAGAAAGAAAATGATAGGTTATCACCCATTATAGTGCTGCCTGTTTATTTATTTATGGTGTTTATTATATCATATCTCCTTTACTAAGGTGCTCTCCTCAGAGGCAGAGGTTTTTGCCTATTTTCTTCTTTGCTTTGCCCATTTTTCCTTTTCTGTACCCTCAGCACCTATAACAGTGCCTAACACTTTACATGAATTCAATGAATATTTGTGAAATGATGGGAAGGATAGGGGAAAGGAAAGAAGGGAAAAGAAAAAATATGAGCAAAGAAAAAAATGGAAACAAAGGCTTTGTAAATAGGGAAGGGTGGACAGGTTGAAGGGAGGGCAGGGGAACGGGGAAAAAATGAGAACCACAATCTGTCATGTAAAGGTACAAGATCCCAATGATGAATGTAACTGTACTGTATACCTAAAATGTACCAATAGACTCAATGAAAAAAATTGTGAGATGAGTTAACAAATAAATGAATGAACTAGTGAATATGTGTTCTTCAGCTTGACCCACAACACTGAATTTCATCCCTCTGCAGATCACTTTTCTATTTCTCAGCATCTTTGTCAAACTTTTACTGCGATTTTTGCATTTCCTGTTCACCTCCTCTAAGAACAAAAGAACTCACTCAACTTCCTACTCATGCTGTTGTTGCCCTTTATCCACATTTGTACTGCTTTTTCTTTCCCAACCAGTGAAGAAAGTGTGAGGCCCAGGCTGAGCTTATCATTTCTATTCCGAAGCTAATCTTATCAACCACCTCTACCCTCTCTTCCTCCCTTCAGGAAGTGCTTACGATTTCTTAAATATCTAAAATTCCTCCCTTTCTACCCACCTTCATGTCAGAACTCACCTGGTGCCTCCTTTCTGTCTTCTAAATTAGATCCCTTCATACCAAAGAATGACTCATTGGCATTTATCTTATATGAGAATTTGGACTCAAGCTAAAGAAAAATGTCTAATAATTAAATTGTAGGGTTCTACTATCCATCTTCTTGTTTGGGGATCTTCTTGTGCCCATGGAATCACAGATATTATCCAGCTTTTCCCCTGCCTACTAGGCCAGTTCTGTGGTATCCCAGATGCAAAGGGAGATTTAGACCTAATCCAGAAGGGATATTTCCAAAGGTTTTTAGAGTCACATCTAATAATATTTTAAAGAGAAGAGCGGATTGTGTATACCATTTTATAATAACTACAGTGTGCATGCAGATATTTTCTGCTTTTATAGGAATATTGTAGAATTACTGTAGAAAAGATGCTGCAATGTTCAAATTGTCACTTACCTTGATTTCTTGTCATTGTTATCTGTCAAATTAAAAACAATGCATAAAGAAGTTAATAATAATAATAAAATGTAACATAATTATTAATAATCTTGCTCTGGAAATTTTCTATAGAGTACTTTTCTTTATGTAGCATTGCAAAATAATGGCTTTCCTTTTCCACTACATATACATATAATATACATTACAGAAAAGATATTTTTCAGTGTTAGGTTGCTGCCTTGGCTACATTTCTGGACTTTTATCCTGGTCATAAAATATCTGTATCTTATGGATATGAAGTGGGGACCAACATTTCTAAACTGTCTAAAGAAAATGCGACATGTATTTATCTATTGCTAGATCACAAATTAATGGGACAATGTCACTGACACTTCCATACCATTAGGAGGCCACAAATTGTTTTCCCCAGCACAAGTCTGAGCATATGTAGCACAGGAGGCAAAAGTGAGACTCCAGGGTCACGGGGGTAGGAAAGCTGGAGGAAAAGGAAGCCCGAGGTACTTTGTCACCCACTGTCGCGGGATGTCACATCCTGTTCCCCTGACATTTTGATGAATGTAAGAACAACAAGACAGAACTGAATTCGAATTATAGTTCCAGTAATTACTGCCCATGTAACCTCTTTCAAGATTTACAGAAGTTATCCAAGTCTCAGTTTGTTTGACTGTAAAATGCTGAATGAGAAGATTTAAAAATAAAGTAATAGCTTAGAATCTTCTGCGTTCGCAGCATGCCACGTCCAAGTGCTCCAGACGCCTTCCACACAATCTCATTCTGACAGGCAGTCTTGGCACTGACCCTCCAGAGGAGCAGCACTCATTTAATGATTGCTCTGTCTCTATGACCAGTAACAATACTAGAATAGCCAAGCGTAGTGGCGCACGCCTGTAATCCCAGCACTCGGGAGGCTGAGGCAGGAGGATCTCTGTGAGTTCGAGACCAGCCTGGGCTACATAGTGAGCTCCAGGTCAGTCTCAACTATACAGTGAGACCCTGTCTCCAAAAATAAATAAATAAATAAATAACAATACTAGAACAAAGTTAATGACAACAGCCAGCCCTACTGTACTTAGGAAAGGGATTTGTGAGAGATTCTTCCTCTCGTCCACACTTTGTGTATTCTCATCTAGAGGTTTGAGAGGGTACAGTGCCTGGATTCGGGAAAGAACCACGAAGTTGTGTGTCCAATGTGCACCCAGGAAGAGCTCTACACATCATTGCTAGTTTTCTACTTCTTGAAATTTCACTAATTTGTCCTACTTCTGTGTTCATCTCTCCTTGTACAAGAGGCATTGAGAGAAAAGTTTACTTACGTGATGTGTCTGACTCAAAAGCATAATTCTCCTCTCCAAATTTCTTCACGCTGCGAAGAATTACTGAGTCAGACATAGTGATTGCAATCAACAGCCAAAGACCCTACAAAATGAAATAAAAGATTTATTGCAATTACTGCTTTTTTCTCTTTAATCAAAGTAGCCAAATAAAAGAACACTTTTGTTCAAGAAACAAGCTTCACTAATCAGTCTCAAGCAAAAGCAGGTTTTAACTAGCTCGTGCCTAGAAAAAGCCGAATTATTAGGAAAATAATTATCTTATTTCCTAATTATTAGGAAAGATAAACCGAGACCATTAGCTATGACTTTTTCTAGCTGGTAGATGGACAATTGTTTTATATTCATTTGATCTTTCTGCTTATTTGTGTTTCATTTATTTTTAATGAGTTAGCATAAAAAACATAAGAAGCGCAAACCAGTTGGTGACACTCTTGAGTCCAAGACACCTGACTGCTCTGGAAACCCAGGCAATCACAGGGCTGGAACAGGTGATTCCCCTCCCTGGACAACAGCACATGCTCCTGAGGGCATGAATGACATCCACATGCTACTGAGCAGCATCCAGTGCTCCCTTGAAAACGCAGCCCAAGAAAAGAAAGGTTCACTAGGGCCGAGAAAGCAGATAAAGGGCAGACTCTGAGTAAAAGTGATGGTTCGTATTACTCACAGAAGAAAATAATCAGTCTCTAAATGAAAACTTTCAGGAGAACTCCAAGACTTTAGCATAGCGTTTCTGCCTTACTGACTTTCTCTGCTTCAAATATATAGCAATGAGGGAAAACAAGTTCTATTTTTTCTCTCTCTTTTTTGGAAAAAAAATCTGTCAGACTCAACAAAAGTAAATGTTTCCATGAAGCAGAGACAGAAGAGAAATATTAGGGCAACCAGGGGACAGGAGAAGCTGCTGCTTTCCCCACAGGGTATGGAAGCAGACAGGACTGTGACTGCCCCACACTAGGCAGAGGCAGGGGATCCCCTCAATCCTTGGAGCCACACCTGCTGTGAAAAGCTCCTAACTTCATGTAAGTGAACTCTCAGAAGAAGAAAGTGGAGAATGATACAGATCAGATATAATAACTAAAAAGAATCATACCACAGTGATATATGTGCAACTATGTTTATAGCAGCACAGTTTGTAATAGCTAAAGCTTGGAAACAGCTCATTTGCCCATCAGTTGGAAACTGGACAAAGAAGATATGGTTTTTCTCTAAAATGGAATACTACTCAGCCATAAAGAATGAGAAAGTAGAGTCACTGATAGGAAAATGGATACATATTGAGGATATACTCCTAAGTGAAATAAATAAGTCACACATGTGTAAATAACGAATAGTTTCTCTGGTGTGAAAAACTATAATAATACACAAGATCCTAATGAGATAATTAACAATGTGAAAGAGGAAGAAAAGGGCTAAAGGTGTAGGGAAAGTGGGAGGGGTAGGGGAAAGGTAATAAAAGAAAGGAAAAAAATAGGAGAAAATGAAAAAATGAAAATAAAATGCTTGTAAATGGGGAGGGGAGGAGGGGGTGAAGGGAGGGCACAGACAAGGAGAAAAAATGAGAACCAAGACCTGTCATATAAAGGTACAAGATCCCAGTGATGAATGTAAATGTACTGTATACATAAAATGCATCAATAAACTCAATGAGGAAAAAAAGAGACATAATAACTATAGAAACAACAGGTAGGAATTTTGGACAAGCGGTAACCTGATTTTTCAAATTAACAATAAACTCCAAGAGGGCTTGACACTTACAGGCCTGAGCAAAACAACCACTAGAGGATGTGCCTTAGCAAGAAGAAAAGGGCATCCAGAAGGGAGTTACCAGAAATAGGAGTGGACACAGAAATATGTCATCAATCAAATAGAATTAACTTTAAACTCATCTTTCAAAAAGACAAAACTAAAACTCCACACAATAATAATACATTGTCTAATATGCAGATAAAGCATGGTAAGTTCATCATAAAAATCTACATTGTTTAAAATTTATAATTAAATGCATTGTAAAAGAAACAAAATGAAATTGCAAATATTTTTACTTACAAAACTGATGTTGAACTTAGTTCAAAACTTTAAAAGTACCAATATAATCAACAGCTTCCAGATAAGCAAAGGATTAAGAACTACGAATATTAAAAGAAAAAGTCATCAGCCCAAAAAAAGTCAAGAGAAAAAGAGACTAAGAAAAAGCATAGTAGAAAATATAAATGAAGATAGTAGACTAAAAAGCAGATGTTTCAGTAACTATGGTAAATTACAGCGATGGAATTCATAAAAGCTGCATGGATGAATCTCAAAATAATGCTAAGCCAAAGGACAGTCACAAAAAGCCACATATCATATGACCCAATTTATGTGTAAGAAATGTCTTAGATGGCAACCTATTAGAGACAGAAAGGAAGTGGTTACCCAGACATGGGGTAGAAATAGGAAAGTGATGAGATGTGACTGAAAGCGATACGAAATTTCTTTTGGGGATGATGAGCATGCTCCAGAATTGGGTGATGGGGATTGTTTTATAGTTCTGTCGATATATATACTAAAAACTACTGCAATGTGCACTATAGACAAGTGACCATCGTGCTATGAAAGTCATGCTCCTAATAAGCAGATCATTTCACTGAATTTTAAAAATCCACATATACACTGATTATAAACGGCATAACATAAAATCATAAAGAATGTTTGAAAATTAAGCTATGTGAGGATGTATCATGAAAGTAGTGATATCTCAAAGCTGCTACATTAATTACAGAAAAAACAGAACCCATGTTCAAAGCAGTAATGCAGACCAAAAGGAGTATATATGATTAAAGATACAGCCCAGCAAGGAGACAAGCTAATCTTTGGATTCTACACACCTAACAATCTATGCAACAACATAGCCTAAAACTGCAAATTTGAACACATCTTTGTTGTAAATTGATATCAAACAGACAAAAAAGTATAGAAGCTTTGAAAAGCTTTTATTTAATATCAATGTATGGAATCTATAACCAAGAAATACATTTCTTAAGTAACATTTGGCATACTTTTAAAAATTTCACCATGAATAAACCAACACAAATTTCTCTATATAACTAACTATATATTTTATAAATGTTAGTTTTTCTAAAGATAGTCTATTCTGCTATCAATTCAATTAAATAAGAAACAAAAGATTAATGCTGGACATGGTGGCACACACCTTTAATTCCAACTCTCATGAGGCCAAAGTAAGAAGATTATGAGTTCAAGACTAGCCTGGAGTATCTCTAAAAACAAAGCAAAAACAAAAATAGATTGAACACTCGTAAAGCACACACACATATATATGTAGTCAGTAAAAGTATGTGTCTATTATAAACTTTGAAATATATATGTGAAGCCAGGCATGGTGGCACACGCCTGTAATCCCAGCACTTGGGAGGCTGAGGCAGTAGGATCGCTGGGAGTTCAAGACCAGCTTGGGCTACATAGTGAGTTCCAGATCAGTCTCAATTACATAGTGAGACCCTGTCTCAAAAAACCAAAAAAAAAAAAAAAAAAAAAAAAAAAAAAATTTATTTAAA